ATTATTAAGTGTAATAATACTTAGGCTAAGATGACACATGATAACTCATTCTAGCTTTTCCGCGATTCAGCACAAGCATTTAAATGACAACAAATTAAATTTTCTATTTAATAAAGAAAGAGATTGAACATTCACCACGATATTTTTTTATCTTTTTATTGAATTGTTGCGTCAGCGATGTCACGTGACTAGTATCACGCCACGTACTTCTCGAACCTTCGTGAATTGTCGGGAGACTACTAGATTGGGGGTAGTCTTGTATATATAAGATGGTCACAAAGTGACGGCAATAATGTGTAATTGAACTGCGGAGAGAGAACATTGTTGAGCACGTGAGACGTTCGTTGAGAATTATAGCGTTTGTTATAGCGCGACTGCTGAAATTAAGTGTATCGCAAAGTTATATTCAGAAAGAATAAACCAGTTTTATTTAAGAAAGGACTTGTGTCGCTGAAGTTTCGTCGGAACGAATTTACGGAAAATTAACTAACGAACGGAGACGTAACAGTATGTTTTCGACTCCCTAACTAAAGTCTTCGTCAGGCAATGAACAAATTTACATAGCGAATGTCCAACATCTTTATTTTAAATAAGAATATCTATGCAATGAGCCTGTAACAATAATAATTTCTGTTACATCAAATTTTAGGTAGCCTTCAAACCAAACATAACTCTTTACAACTTTCGATTAGAATAGACATAGCTATAAAAACCAATGTCTTGCTGATAAATCACAAATTTTGCTAACTTACTATAAAGATGAAGGACAATGAAATACACAGAATTTCAAAGTGGACATTTGACTCTCTTTCCTCTAGAAGTCATCAAGAGGCCTCGAAATTCTAGTAAAAAATCACAAAAAAATACAAAATTCTCTATCGTTAAGCAGCAGAAAATGCGCCTGTATATTCCCCGCCTATGTCTAACTGAAAAGTGAATGCGCACACAAAACCCACTTATCCCTCTAACAGTGAGACCCCAGAACTGTTCCTGAGGATATATTTCACTTAAGAGTAAAATTTTCTAATAGGTGCAATGCGTTGCTTAAAAATTTAAAACAGGTTAAAGTATAAGTTGAGTCCGCAAATTTAGGCTAATTACATCGTTGTTGTTTAAAGTATCAAGTACTGAGTGCACTACGAAACTCACATGAAAACAGTCCAAACGTGAATTAAAAGGACCATAATTCACGTCGTAGCCGAAAAATCGCTAACCGACGGGGCAGCCATTAGTTCTTTTTTAATAACTTCCTTTTTACCTTCCCATGAACTGAACTTGCACATTAATCAAGTGCTCTTCCTATGAACAGAATTAAACTTGCACATTAATTAAGTGCTCTACCAACTGAGCTAAAGAGTAAATAAATGGGCAACTGGAACTTTTAACAACTCAAACTACCATGAAATGAGCATTGTCACTTAGTTTTAGTAGATCATTACAAAGGAAAGAAGATAGAGCCGTGGTAGAGTACTGAAGTCTGGAAGACCGAACTGTGAAAACTGAACTGTGGAAGATCGAGCCATGGCAGAGCACTGAAGCCTGGAAGATCGAACTGTGAAATAGTACTGAACTGTGGAAGATCGAGTTGTGGTAGAGCACTGAAGTCTGGAAGACCGAACTGTGAAAACTGAACTGTGGAAGATCAAGCCATGGCAGAGCACTGAATTCTGGAAGATTGAACTGTGAAATAGTACTGAACTGTGGAAGATTGAGCCGTGGTACAGTACTGAAGTCTGGAAGACCGAACTGTGGAAGATCGAGCCATGGCAGAGCACTGAATTCTGGAAGACTGAACTGTGAAATAGTACTGAACTGTGGAAGATTGAGCCGTGGTACAGTACTGAAGTCTGGAAG